TTAGGTGTCTATTTACTTGTGACCACTCAGTGTATATCTAATATGAAAGTATCTTCAAAAGTTGAGTACACTAAAACAAGAGGAGTGGCTAAATCTTTCTTCAGTTTGTTGAATGTTTGTCCACAATCAGCAGTTCAACAAAACTTATTTGATTTTTTCACAGTTTTAGGTAAAGGATGAGTTATGTCAGAAAATAGTTTTATAAAATGATGACAGTAAGAGCACAGTCCTAGAAATCCTTTTATGTCATGCATATACTTTGATGTTGGCTCATTCTGAAAAGATTCAATCTTAGATGAGTCTGTAGATGCTCCTCTCTGCTGACTATGTGTCTCAGAAAACTCACCTGTTAATAGAATTAATCACACTTCTTGGGATTCAGCTTAAGATACGCTTTCCTCAACTGATCAAGAACTCACTTAAGCCCACCTCAATCATTACCAAATGTGTCTTTTCATGTATGATTATGTCATTCTACCAGATGAGTACAACATTCTATGGCAGTTCAGAGAGAGAGAGAGATCACACCATCAGTTGTTAAAATATTGCAAGTGCATTACATAATCCAAATGGTAGCACAATAAATTGCAACAATCCATTTATTGCATTAAAAGCTGTTTTACCTCTACTTGCTTCATTGACTTGCATTTGCCAATATCCTACCTTCGTATTCAATGATGAAAAACATTTTTATCCAAATAAAGCATCGAAACCAGAGTCAATCATTGACAGTGATTTGTAATCATTCTTTGTGACATCATTCACCTTCCAGTAGCTCATGCCAAACCTTGTGTATCCATCCTTTTTAAAAATACGAAAGGTAGTGCTCAATGACTAGTACTTGGTTCTATCACTTCTTGTTCCTTCATGGCTTCTATATCTTAGAAAACCTCAGCATGTTTTAGAAGCACAAGTCATGTGGCTAACTGACATATTGAGGCTGCATCTACAGTATCAATGTTGTGAAATATTTTATTTGTTCAGCCTAAGTCATGAGAGCCACTGAAGTAGGTACTTCGATATTCTATGAGCAAGTTATGTAATCTATGGCATTAATCAGCTGTAACCTCTACACAACTCCAGTCATACAGCTCTTGTATGTAGATGGTAAGCTGTCCTTATGTGTGGATACGATATCAGACTTCCTACATCTTCCCTCAAAGGTGACTACTTCTGATGTTCTTTGATAAGGAAGTACTACTTTTAGACCTTCACGTCTTGCAGTGTCCTATCCATACTTGAATTTTATTATTTGCTGTGTTCATGGCCCTTATTACAACATCTTTATTCTTCAGACCCATGAAAGTTTTCCAAACAATAATCCAGCAGGACATGCTTAAGTGTTTTGTTCCAATACATCCCAAACACTAGATAATACAGTTATTCCAGGAAAGTCCTAGTGCTAGTGTTTCACTTCTTGGTGGCACAATGACTCCCCTCTTTGTTGTCACTGGAAGTTCAACTTCTAGTGTAGTAATTGTCACATAGTGAACAGGGATTTCTTGGTTATAGAAAGTGAAGCTATTTGAAGCTAGCCTAACCTTACATCAATGTCTCCACATGAAGTTATTTCACAATATGCACTCCTCCTCCATGTCAATTATCCACACATCATGATGTGTAGAGAAGCTTACCAATGTAATAGTAACTTCAAACTCTTATCTTGCCAGAACTTTATGTCCACTTGTTGTTCAAATCAATCTGTAACAGTTTCTTTTTAGTGACATCTTTTGGAGGAGAGTTTTTATTCCCTGCAAGCTTTTGTCCACAGTTCTTTGCAATATGTCCTTTCAAGTTACACTTGAAACATCTGTTATCTTGTGTCTTGTGGGTTAATTCCTCTATTCTGTGCAAATATTGTCTAACTAATCCTTTCAGTACTTTCAGGGGAAGGGAGTACTTGATTTGATGATTACATAACATTTAGATGTCACCTTAGTTGTTTATCTGCAACTTTCATGGATTAAAGTTCAACTGCCAACTAGAGAGCTTCCTTTAAAGATGTAAACCTATTTTGTTTGAGCCTAATTGGCATATCATCATGTTATGGCATCTATGATTTGGTTGTGTGCCACTGAATCCATCATATTTCACATACAGTATCTAGATAAGATAATTAGGAAGGCCTTTCTAAGTCTTTAATAAGTTTGGTTAAGGATTATTCTTTCCTCCAAACACTGCTTCTGAACTTCATTTGGAAACTGGCATCAAGAAACCATGTGACCACTTCTTCTCAAGAACAGGTGTCAGAGCATTAAAACAAGAATATTTTTGTCATATATCACATGATTAAAACATGAATATTGTATTAAAACACTTACTAAAATACATTTTACAATTATACTGTCTGTTTAAAATGTACAGATTTTTAAAAGGTTTTTCTCATCTTCATATTATGCAACAAAGGTTGCTTTTTTTTAAGTATTTGTGTTGGATAGGAAAGGAGGTGTGCAAAGCATTATAAAAGTCAAAGTTGTTAATACTGTTTGTATATTATGTTGCTAAAAATGAAGTTGATGGAAACTAATAATATTGTACATGTGGAACACTGTTTTTGTTTTTCTTTGCCGCTTAATTTACAGGAAATTGAGTTGTGTGTTTTCTTTTAGGAATGTATGCCTTATTTAATTTATGACTTATTTAAGTAGACTCAACTAATTAGTGCTTCATATATTTTCTTTATTTAAAATGGATTCACAAACAAAAGGGAATTAAGTTTTGAACATTGCTACTACAGCAACCAATGCCTTATTCAAAGACAGGATTGAGTGAGCAGTGCAAGACTTTATTTCAGGAGAAGTTTCAAGTTTCCATTGTCAAGCTTTCTCAAGAACACTTGCCACCAGAAATGATCCACTCTCTCCCTGTCTTCTAAATCATCTTCTGTTTGGTACACTTTCCACTCATCTGTAATGTTAGTTATAACATTCTCTTCAAACATCAATTGTCTAGATAAATTGTCTGTAACAAAACTTTGATCAACTAGTTTCAAAAGGAAGCCTAGTGACCAGGTACTTTGATACTGCAGTGTAGAACAACCATATTCCAATAATTGTTTTGTGTTGGATCCCTATTTTCATTTTGAAAAGCTCCTGTATTGCTTCCTCACAGACAATGTCTTCATCACCTAGCTGGATTTTAATGCCAATATGTAGGTTTTTCAGGTCTTCTTGGTGTTTGTCATTAACAATATCTGCTTTGACAAACCATCTCAGAATAGTGCAAATGAACAATGTCACTTGACAGTTGGAAACTCTTTGAGAAAATTTCCAAACAGAAGAATAACTGACAACAGAAAGAACAATTTGACTTTCATTTTTGGGTCACCTTATTGCTTTCCTTATTCCTTTTAAGTTGACACTCTTTGACATTGTCTTTAATCCCTCTCTAATTTTGACACATTTCCTTATCCCTGACCACTTCTCAATGATGCACCTTAAGGCTGGTACAACGCCCAACCAAAGAACTTGTGTGTGCTTTATACAAACTTCAAATAATTTGTATTTAAAAAATTACTCATACCTGATCAGCGTGAGGTGGCAAGTTACCAACAAAAATATCATACGTAGATCTTCGTTTAGCCATTATAGTCATACAAATTTCAGCTCCAATTCTTCAGTTTTAGTTGTTTTCAATGGTAGTTTTAGACAACTAGTTGAACATCTATGAAGAAATGACAATAATATTATATTTAACATTATATCAATCATAAAGAAATAATTTTTTTGCACTCATTTTAAGATGTGGTTGGACATTTAAAATCTCAAAAAAACATTAACCATTTCAAATGTAACAATGTCTGTTCTTTTTCTATAACTTTTATTGTGAAAAAAAAAAGTACTTCGTAAATAAGAATTAAATTAAATTTTTAAACATCTTTCTCAGACTGGTAAAAACTACAAGAAAACAAGTTGACAAGTGCAATTTATGTAAGCTCAAGCATGCTAATCTGGTACTTTTTTTTGGGTCAACCGCCTTGAATGTAAATTAGAAAAACTGCCTGCTGAGTTAAACACTTTTAATGTTAAAAACACAATCTAAGCATTCTAAGGGGAGACTAACACAAGATTATTTTTTCCTTTTTCTCTATACACATATATGTTTAAGAATAGTTGTATATGAAATGGTGAAAGTGACAAATGATAAATAATTGTTATCCGTTTCATTCTTGCATAGCAAAATCAAAGACAAGCAAAATAATATTTTTATGGAAGGTTTGGAATAAAGAAGAAGTTAAGGGATTTGATTCAGATGTTCAAAACTGTTAGGGTTCAGACAATCTTCCTATGCACTGTCTGCATGGTGCAATGAAAAGGTTAGAGATTCAAACTTGAATATTAGGAATAATATATTTAAGTTCTGTGAGCAAAAACGCAGACTCATGCTTTAACAAAATATTTAAAAAAGATCAGTTACAAACCTGTGCAATAGTTGTCTGATGATGATTTATAGCATTAGTTAGAATTATTTCAAAGTTTTGTTGGATATTTATATGAATTTGAGGGGCTGCATTTAAGCTGGTTAAAAATAAAAAATACAGCATTTTTATTACAATTTTGATCGAGGAATGACTTTGATTGGCTGAATGGCCTTTGTCACCACCTTTTCTTATGTTAAGTAGATATCAAGCTTAAGGTTTTTTGGATTAACACACAATATTCTAGTTGGTAATTATCTTTCATTTTAAATATGTAATTTTTACCAAAAGATAAAACTTAATACATACTTTTCTAAGTTAATTAGATTTACAGGTATTTTTATGATTTATCTATATTTAGAAAATCCTAAACTATTTTTACTATATGCATTTCTTAAAGTTAGGATTTCAACTATGACTTCAAAAATATTGCAATATTTGTCTTTCATACAGATGTTTTTACAAATCAAATGGATGTCCATCATCAATATAATATACACTATCATCAATAATAAAATTAAAAGTACTCACTTAAGACCATGACATTTGATTAGGTGCCAAGCAAAAGATTAGCTACAACAATCAGGTTACTAAGAATTAAGAAAATGACCAGTTAATTGGATGGGAAAAACAAAAAGTTGTTGATAATGGTGTCCAGTCAAACTGCACCCTTGTTAATATTAGAATCCTCCAGGGGTCAGTCTATGGGCCTTTGCTTTTTTTGAATTATATATACATTAATGATATTAATATGAACAAAATTAGAAAATTTGTAAAGTTCCTGATGAAAATTATAAATTTCCTACACTTAAAATGTATTTCCGATAAGTACTTACCCTTTTTTTTTACATAAATAGTTATTCTTATTCAGTGCTGCCCTCTATATGCAAACACATTTTTTATGCATGCCTACAAGCCTTCTATCTTCCCTCCATTGGAATTTACTGATTCCAATGCATCTCTCATACAAATCATCATGCATCAACCCTCCACCAATAAGAGTGTGACATACTCTCATGACACATGTGATTCCCTCTATTCAATTCTACTGAACTATCACTTCGAGTTTTGGCAGAAGATGGAAGCACTGGTTTTCAGTGGGGAGAAAGAGCAAGAAGTGAGAGAGGAGGTAAGCACCTATCAGGAATACATTTTCAGTGTAGGAAAATTATAACTTCTGATATGGTACATTATCTCCACTCACATAAAAAACTAGAATCCCACACTGAATAGGTGGAGGGACCAGTGCGAGGAAAAGAAAGAAGCATCCTTCAAAAGCCCTAGGATGAGACAGTTAGATTCTAAAATCTGATGTGGGGAATCACCCCACTTCTGAACCAGATATACTTTTTGCCCATCTTAGAAAAATGTTGCATATATGAGTGGAAAACAGAGGAGCACATTCAAATGGGAGAGAACCATGGCTGGAAAGTGATCCTAACTATGCAATATTTATGAAACTCAATCCCAGAAATTATAAAAGTGGGTAAAATGAAAAGGATGTGCCCCTGGGTGCAGAGTGGCTAGGGCATGATGGACCATACACAGCAAATCAACTACATCCAAAACCCATGCTGCTGAGAACCAACATCCACAAGGACGTAGGATGAGGATCATACCATTGGTAAATCTACTACAATTCAAAATCCAACCACTGGGTACTGACATCCATATGGAGGTAGGAAAGAGGATCATACCACTGACAAGTCGACTACAATCCAAAACCCAGCCATCTGGCCGGGGTAGGATTTGTTTGTTTGTTTTGAATTTCGTGCAAAACTACACAAGGGCTATCTGTGCTAGCCATCTCTAATTTAGCAGTGTAAGATTAGAGGGAAGGCAGCTAGTCATCACCACCCAAGCTAACTCTTGGGCTACTCTTTTACCAACAAATAGTTTGATTGACTGTCACATTATAATGCCCCCACGGCTGAAAGGGTGACCATGTTTGTGTGACGGGATTCAAACCCGCCACACTCAGATTGTAAGTCGAGCACCCTAACCACCTGGCCATGCCCAGCCGGCAGGGGTAGGAAAGAGGATCATACCATCTTCACCTCAAGTTCATGAAGACAGAGGGAATCTAGATTCCCCCCCCCCCCGACTCATGAACGGGGTACATGTGAATATAATAAATTGATATCAAATCCAGTATCAAAAAGATGTCTATGTAATGTAAACCATCTCCCTCAAAAGTAAAACTGACCAGAACCATCCCACATGCATTAACATCCTCGGAATAAGAAACACTGAGAGATGGTGGTAGGGAAAAACTGTAATGATCTGCAATTACCTCCAACATGACCCATAATACTGATGGAATATAAATGAGAGAGGAATATAGACATCTGTAACACATGTGTGAGGATTTATGTTGATTAGTTCTACTCTGAATCCAAAACCTGGCCACTGGGAATTGACATCCACATGGGGGTAGGATGAGGGATCCCAATCAAACAGGTAAACTGCAATTTTTTTTTTATGTTTCATATTGGAGGGTATTACATCATCTACACCAGCAGAACACCACCACCCTACTCTTAACTGAATGGTTTTATAATCATTTCTATTTTTTGTTTGTATTTCATTAACCAATTCAGGAGGATGCCTCCATGATCCACCACCCCAGCAGCTTGGAACTGGAAAGTGGTAAGGAATCTAAAACTCCACTAGAAGAGAAAGGGGGTAAAACAAGTTGGAGAGTCTGGAGGAACAACAACACCTGAGACAGCGCAATGGGTGACAACAAAACTCTATTTTTAAAAGCAGACCATACCGATTTATTCAATACAAGGCATGGCAGGGACGGATAGCTATCCCTTTCTGCTTTACCCATGTAGTCCATGGGTGGGTATGGTCCGGGACAGGCAAACTTATGAAGCAATTCCATCACAAGGATAAATCTACAAGTGAACTTGTGGAACACGCCATCTCTGCAGTGTGCACTGCGTGGCCATGGAATTATAATATGCAAATCGATATGGCTTGACAGTTAAAGAATACCTGGTGAGGCACCACTTGCTACAGAGCAGGATCCAAGCAATGAGCATTAATAAAAGGGAAAAGGGCCCTTGAAAAGGAAAAATAATAATAACTTACCCAGTCATAGTCTCACTAAATTCTGATATTCTAAAATGGCTACAGGTGGAAGACAATAACCAGAAGAGAAAGAAACCACAATCTGATGCATATTAGTGAGAGACTAACACATCATGGGTAGTCCACATGCCCAATTGAAGAAGTACCTCCAAAGGACGATGAAGATGAAATGCCAATGAAAAGATGAGGTCGTTTTGGGTGAGAAGACACTCGGAACAAAGTACAGGAGAAAGAAGATAATCGAATGAAGAGCCAAACCAAATTGGCAAAGGAGGAAGGACAAAGAACCCGAACAGAGGACGGTTGCCAAAGAAGAACGAGGCGAGAATGGACACCACAGAAGAAAGCTGTGGCAGTAATATAACAGAGAAGAGTAGATACAGGACATAGAAGTCTATCCAGATTGGGACGAGGATAAAGCTGTGAAATGGAAGGAAAGGAAGGCAGTTAAACAGAGGAGTTATCTTCATGAGCCTCCGAAGTATTAGGGAAGAAAAATGATGCAGAGAAAGGAGAAGCTATGTAAAAGGATAAAAAGTACATGAAACATCGATGGAAAAAACAGACCACCAATGTCCACAGGCCAATGGGGGAAGGAAGAAAAACATAAGCAAAGGTGAAACAAGGAGCACTGGGAGAGTGGTTCAAACATAGGCAAAAAGAAGATCCAACATATGAATACAGATAGATGGAGAATGGGTGCCACCCTGGTGATTGAGATAAGCAACCACTGAAGAAAAGTTGGAATGGATAAACACCAGATGATTTCTGGCCAGATGGAGAAAATAAACCAAACACGACCTACAGCGAGAAGCTCCGGGATGTTGATAGTATAAGACCTATCAGCTGCAGATAAAAACCCCGAATATTCCAGTTGATCAATATGCCTCCCATCCCCAAAGTGATGCATCCATGAAATGTGGAAAAAATGGATGAGAAGGAAAAAGCAGGACATCCGCCAACATACATTTCATATTTAACCACCAATGCTGATCAACAACAATGGGAGGAGTAAGGGTAATAAGAACTGACAAAGGATTTATGCAAAATTCCACTGGTGGTGAAAAGCTCACAAAAGAGCCTGCATATGAGCCTGATCTAAGGGGATAAGGGCTATCATGGAAGATCACATCTCCAAAAGTGATAGAATTTCGTGAGCTGTAATTGAAGTGAAAACCCCTTGAACGAAGTCAAAGAGGCGAAGCGTGGGCCCGGCTGAGATGTATGTACGAAAAAAAATACACACCTAATTGGACAAAATATTGGATAGGTCACAGTATGGACTTCTCCAGCTTGATAAACAGCCCATTACATCCACCTCCAGGAGCAGCTGTTAAGGGTAACAGGTGGACTTCTGTTTGGAATGAGCAAACAGTAGTCTGTTGACCAAAGAAAGAGGAAAGTGGAACTGGAAAGCATTTAAGAGACAAACGAATGCTGTGAATGCCTGACAAAACATACAGGGCTGAAACAAGTCTGAAGGGCAGTGCACAAAACAGAAAAACTACCCTGTGGAGAATAAACTGAAGAGAGGGTCATGGGTGACAAAACAGCAGGTGTCATATCATGAAAGACTTGATGGGAGCTCCAACAAGCTGTCGCAAAACTCATTTTATGGGCACTTTCAAGCAATAATGTGATGACACCCATCAAAAAATACAAGCTAAAATAGTATGTCATGTTATATAATCAATTTAATCAAGAAATTTGTGCATGTGCACATTGTGTGTAGGAAACATTATGATGAATTAATTACAATCAATTGCTTTTCTACGCTTACAATAATATACAAATTGCATATTATAAATTTATTTAGGATACACTTCATATATTATCAGCTAATTTTGTCTCTGTCTTCTGAACTACATAATGAGCAATATTTTTCAAGTTAGAGGTGTGGAGGGCAACATTTTTAAGAAATGCATAAAGTCTACAAAATTATTCCGATGTACTTGATTAACCTTTTTATTCTGAATTCAACAAAATAGCATTATCTTACAAGATGCAAAGAGGTTTAAGTGTAATAAAAAAAACTTAAATCAAAATTCTTCCCAATGTGGTATTTACCAGGTTATTTTTTATTTTTTTTACTAAAAGATATTGTGGTTTACCCATCAAAAGTATCTGGAACCCTCTGTTTAAGAGTTACATAACCACAAGACTACATATCAAACAAATACATTTATGCTCTCTATGGTTATTTAAGTTTTGACAATTACACACTATTTGCTTTTGAACTTTGAAGTTTCCATTTTTAAGGAAAAATTAATGAACAAGTCTTTTGAATGATCTTAATAAATGTTGCACTTACACTTACAGTAATTTCTACAAAGTTTGTTTACACATTTCTATCACAATATCAATATTTTACTAAGTAAATTCTTTTATATTTATTTACATTTACAAGATTTTTTTGGTTATTTGCAAAATATCAAACACCACTTTCAAACTTTACAAGATACTGGGCCAGAGTTTTCTTTTTCTGTCAAACACCTTTTAAAACACGATACTCAGTAAGAATTATCCGTTTCTGTACAACTATGCATACATCAAGTTATTTTACACTTTTGCAATAAATTCAAAAATCAAAATATAGCACTGCAATTTATATACAATTACATTTTTTAAGTAAAACTTATGCTTTCAAATTCGATGACGAGGAACCCACTTTGAGACTAATAATGGCTGGAGACGGCTTGAATGGGTAATGAAGAAAAACTTTAATATAAGTTTAACATAACAGCAAACGTACTGATCATTGTTTATGATGATGACAAAACCTTGTCGAAACGTTGTACATTTGCTGTTATGTTAAACTTATATTAAAGTTTTTCTT